AAAAGACTATCCTTTCCCCATTATGTATTCTTGGTGCCTTCACGAAATATTAGTTGACTATGTATGTGTGGGTTTGTATCTACACTTCTGATTCTGCTCTACTGATCTATATGACTATTTAATTTTAGTACTGTACTGTTTTGATTACTATAGCTTTGTAACATAGTGTGAAATCAGAAAGTATGATGTCTCCACCTTAGTTGTTCTTTCTCAAGATTGCTTCAACTATTCAGGGACTGTTGTGATTTCACATGAATTGGAGGATATTTTTTCTTCTGGGAGAAATGCCATTGGAATTTTGATAGGTTTTTGTTGTTGGTGGTGGTGGGTTGGTTGGTTGGTTGGTTGGTTGTTTTGAGACAGGGTCTTGTTATATATAGGGTTAGGCTCGTCTGGAACTTAATATGTAGTGCAGTCTGGCCTCACTCACACTTGAGGTCCTCCTACCTCAGCCTCCCAAGTGCTGGGATTACATGTGTAAGCCACCACATTCAACTTGATAGAGACTGTGTTGAATCTATAGATAATAACTTTTAAATACTGTACTGGGGACACAGAGGAAAACTGGTAACAAATGGAAAGGTATTTTCTGTTCTGGCTAGCCATATAGAACAAAATAAAAAAGTTCTTAACCTCACTTATTTTCCCCAAATAAGTTCCATATGGACCAAGGATACAACAAAAATGAAACCATACTATGGAAAACATCATGGCATTTTTCCAAATGTTAGAAGTAGAATTGTCATATGAACTGTCAATTCCACTGCTATGTATATATCCCAGAGAAATGAAAGTAGAACCCTACAGCAGTATTTGTACCTTCATATTCATAGCAGCATTATTCACAGGAGCCCAACTGTGGGGGCAACCAGGCCAACTAAAATAGGTGAAATAAGCCACCACAAAAAGGCAAATACTTGATAAGATATTCCATAGCAATCAAATTCATAAAAAGTTAATATAGAACAGTGGTTGCCAAAGGTAGGGGGTGAAGAGTTGGTGCTTAATGGATGTAGTTTCAGTTTTGCAGAGTGAACAGGTTCTGGAGATTGGCTGCACAGTACTGTGCCTATGCACGATACTATTGACCTGTACACCTCAGAGGGTTGGGGAGGGGGCTCAGTGGTAGAGTACATGCTTAGTACTAGCCAGGCCCTGGATTCCGTCCACACACACACACACACACACACACACACACACACACACACAGATAAGAGAGAATTGGGGGTGTTGCTCAGTGCTGGAGTTCTTGCCTAGCACATACAACCCTGGGTTCAAATCCCCAGCACCACTAAAATAATAATAATAATAATAATAATAATAATAATAAGCAACCAAAGAACGGTTAGTTTCATGCTATGTGTTTTATCACAAGTAAACATTGAAGTTAAGCTTTTAAAACATAGGCTAAACATGAGAGAACTATTTTTTTTCACTGTAATGAATAATACCACTGTGAACATTTGTGTACAAGTTTGTTTGTTTTTTGTTTTTTTGTTTTCTAGTGGTACTGAGGTTTTAAACTCAGGGTTTCATGCTTGTGAGGCAGGAAGTCTATAACTTGAGCTACTCCTCCAGCCCCCTGTACAAGTTTTTGTGCAAACAAGTTTTCCTCTCTCTTGGGTGCACAGCCACAAGAAGAATTGATGAGCAGTGTGATAGCTCCATGATTAACGTTTTGAGACACTGTCAAGCTCTTTTCCACAGTGACTGCATCATTTTACATTTCCACCTGCCAGGTATCATGGCTCCAACTTCGCCACTCCCTGCAGTCTTTTGATTACACCTGTCAGTCCCGTTGCGTTTGATTTGCATTTCTGTAATGACTAACGAGGTTGAGCCTCTTTCATATGCTTATTAGACATTTGTAAATCTTCTTTGGAGAAATGTCTACTGAAATTCCTTGGCCACTTTTAGTTTGGGTTCTTTGGTTTTGTTGAGTTGTAAGAATTCTTTTGTTTTATTTTATTTTTCTTTTTATTTGTTTTTTGAGACAGGTCTCGCTATGTAGCCTAGGCTGCCTCAAACTTGCGGTCCTTCTGTCTCCTCCTCCCAAGTGCGGGGATTACAGGCTTGCATCGCTACATCCAGCTTCTGGGTACCCTCTGTTTCCTCTGTTTCATTTTCTTCCTAATTGTTTTGGTAGAACTTCCAGTACAGTGTTGAATATCAGACATTCTTGTCTTGTTCCTGACCTTAAGAGGATAGATTTCATCTTTTACCTTATGTGTGATGTTTGCTGTTTTTCATGGGTGTTTTTTTTTTAAATCAGGATGATTTTCTCCCTCTCTTTATAATTGATTTTTTTTAACCATGAAAAGGTGTTGGAGTTTGTCAAATGACTTTCTGCCTCTAGTGACATGATTATGTGTGAGGGTTTTCCTCTTTATCCTACTAATAAGTAGTGTTAAGTTGGCTGACTTTAATATGTTGAATCAACCTTTCATTTCTGGGGGAAATCCTACTGTACTGTGATGTGTTCTCCTTTTGAAATACTACTGAATTTTGGTTGCCAGTATTTTGTGAACAACTTTTATATAACTGTATTCCTAAAAGGTGTTGCTATAGGGGTTTTTTTGTTTTTATTTTTCTTGTTATGGCTTTGTCTTCTGTTAGTATCAAGGAGATACTGGCGTAAGAGTATGAATCAGAAAGCATTTTCTCCACTTGTTTAAAGGATTTTTTATTTTTTGGTCCTGGGAATGAAACCCAAGGCTTTGCATATGCTAAGCAGGCACCCTACTATGAAGCTTTACTACCAGCCCCAAATAGGCTGGTGAGTAAATATGTGATAATTTGCACAACAACAGAAAATTCAGCTAAAGGAAAACAACCAAAAATTATATGCCCCCTTCCCATGGAAAAAACGATCTTGCAAAATCCTGAAATTTAAATCTGATCAAGTCCCTTATTTAAATCTAACTGTCAAGTTACAGGAAATAAAGAACATACTAAATTATGCCAAGGAAGGGTATATCATACGTTCCAAGCAAGAAAACATTAATCATACCTGAAATTTAATATAAAGATTTGGTTGAACTGAAGTTCAAGACATGGTGATGCACACCTATAATCCTAGCATTCAGGAGGCTGAGGTAGGAGGACTGTGAGTTCCAAGCCAGCCTGGGTTACATAATGAAACCCTGCCCCAAAAACAAACATAAAAAAAAGAAAAAGAAAAAAGCATTGAACTGAAAAAGCAGAAAGTGTGGTAACATTGGGAAATAACTGCAGGAAGCAGCTTCCACATTTAGAGTTTGGTGAATAATGGAAAGAAGTTGGGTTTATGGTTGATCTAGAAGGTTTAAGGAGGGATCCTGTACATCTTGGATGAACCCTACAGACTGAGATTTAGATGCTGTCTGACTAGTACTAATACATGTGAAGAGATGTGTTGAAGGTGATTTGAGAAGGAGGAAAAAGCTCAAGCCTGGAACCTACTGCCAGTGTAGAGAGACGGCTGTGGGTGGAGTGGCCATTGGGAATGGCAGGCAGGTGGAAGCAGTAGGAATTCTCTTCTCCATAGCCTTCTAGGATTCCTTTAGGGCTCTTGTTAGAAGAGCCAGGCAAAAGAGAATGTAATTTCCAAAGTCCTGAAGACTGTAGTTTAACAGTTGGAATGTTAATCAAGCTGGTTCCTTCAACTAATACATTGTAAGCAAAAAAAAGAAAGAAAGAAAAGAAAAAAGAGTGATGGAGGAAAACATAGCAAATAAAAGACAGATCACCCACCTGCCATGTATGGACCATGTTTGGATCCTAACTTAAACAAGCCAGAACAAATCTATGAGATATTTGGGTTAGATAAAATATTGTTAATTTTTGTAGGAATGAGACTGGCACTTTTTAAAGTCCTTAGCCTTTTATTCTAAAATGTTTGTAGATAAAATGCTAAGATGTCTGGAATTTGCTTTAAGATGGGATTGGGGAGAAGTGAAAGCAGTGTTGAGGAGACAAGATTGACTAGGTGTTGGTGGTTGTTAGTGCTGATTGATGGGCATATGGGGTTAATTTTACCCTGCTATCCACTTTGAATACTTCACAGAGTTTTTGTTGTTGTTTAGTGTGTGTGTGGTACTGGGGATGGAACCCAGGGCTTTGTGCATGCTAGGCAAACACTCAACCATTGAGCTACATTCCCAGTCCCACAGTTCTTCATAATAAAAAGGTTTTTGAGAGTAGAAAAAAATCCCATTAATAAACTTTTTTATTAGAATAAAAGTCAAGCTTTTGTTTTGCTTCATCATATACAACTGAGGAAACCATACTTGCAAACAGTATTGGACAATAAAACACAGGTGTGTTAATACACATCCATAATCCCAGCATTTCGCAGTCTGAGACAGGAGGATCTCAAGTTTAAGGCCAGCCTTAAACTGTGGGGTGGGAAGGAGGGAAAGAAAAGGAGAGAGGAAGAGAAAGAAAAAAGTTAAAAAGCACATGCCTTTGATGCCACAGTTCCAGTTCTAGGAATGACTTGTACATGTAGGCAAAGACATTTACATGCAGATTTTCATCACATCAACAGTAAAGGTTTGTAAACAACCTAGATATCCTAGGAGGGTGACTAATTTAATGAATTATGTTAAAATTATACTATGGAATTCTATTCATTTATTAAGGAATAAAGCAGTTCTAATTGTAGTAATATGGGATGATCTCTAAGAAAGAAAACAAAGTAAAGACAGTATTTATATGTCATCATTTGTGCCCCCACCAAAAAAAAAGAAGATACATTTGACTATATATAGAGTGCCTTTGGAAAGATAGACCAGAAACTGGTCATAGTGGTGGATTCAGAGACAGGGAACTGGATGACTGAAGTTTAGAGGTGAAAGGGCAGCACATATCTATAATCTCAGAGGCTAGGACAGGAGGATCATGAGTTCAAGGCCAGCTTGGACTCTAGTGAATACAACTTAAATATAATAGATATTGCTATGATAGTTGTAAATGATTTCACTTACAAATAGAAGTATCTGGGTTTTTTTTCTTTTCAGGTGGTGATAGTGGATTGGATGGGTTAGGAGGACCAGGTGTACAACTAGGAAGCCCAGATAAGAAAAAACGCAAGGCAAATGCACAGGTAAATTGATATTTTCTTTGCTAACAATTTCCCTTTGTTGGTGTGGTCACACTGATAAGACAGATTTAAATTTGGTAATGGGTTTTATTGTTTCCTGTCCTCATTCAGAACCTACAAACAAATCCTGCCATGGTTTTTGTTTTTAGTCTGCAGCTGGTGGCTGTTTTTGGATTGCAGGCCTAGAGTAGATACTGCAAAAAGAAAGTGTAGGCAAATTAAAATACTTGTTCTTGAATATAATTTAATGGTTTTTAAAAGCATATTATGCCTGAAGTTCTATTTAAGGATTTCATGTACATTATTATGTATAAATTGAAGTACTCTTTTGATGATATCTGTACAAATTACTTTGTATTTTTCCATTTTGGCCATGTCAAACTTGCAATGTGACTAAATCTGGCAGTTTATTTTCCATTACAAGGTCTTGAGCTCAGTGTTTGGGGATTACTTTTAACCGTGGCTCCCTGAAGTTAAGCCAGGGAAGATTTTTAGTTTTCTTCTTGTTAATTGTTACTTACTTTTATGATCATTTGAAGGTGGGAAAGGATTTTTGATTAGAATGCTGTGGTGTTTTAAGTGAAAGAGTTTGATTATAGACAAGCCTGATAAGTGAAAATTATGACACTGAGGCCTCTTTTTGAAAGTTAAATACTTGGTGGGTTGAAGTAACAATGAATTTGAGCTCAGAAAAGCCCATCTTATTTTCTTTACTAAGTGGATGACACATACATATTTTTATCATTAAGTATAATATAATTAAACAATTGTAATTGAAAAGTAAAGTGAAGAACTTAAATTTTCCTAGCACTGTAAGAGAAATTTGACTAAAACCTGGTTCATAACAGTACAATTATAATGACTTCTTTGATAAAGAACATATGCTTTACGTTGTATTCTCTTTTCAGGGGCCTTCTTTTCCTCCATTGTCTGAGTATGCTCCACCACCAAACCCAAACTCTGACCATCTAGTGGCTGCTAATCCATTTGATGACAACTATAATACTATTTCCTATAAACCACTACCTTCGTCAAATCCGTATCTTGGCCCTGGTTATCCTGGCTTTGGAGGCTATAGCACATTCAGAATGCCACCTCACGTTCCCCCAAGAATGTCTTCCCCATACTGTGGTCCTTACTCACTCAGGAACCAGCCACACCCATTTCCTCAGAATCCTCTGGGCATGGGCTTTAATCGACCTCCTGCTTTTAACTTTGGGCCACATGATAATTCAAGTTTTGGAAATCCATCGTATAATAATGTACTAAGTCAGAATGTTAACATACCTAATCAACATTTTAGACAAAATCCTGCTGAAAACTTCAGTCAGATTCCTCCACAGAATGCTGGTCAAATATCTAACCCTGATTTGGCACCTAATTTTGTCCCTGGAAGTAATTCAAATTTCACCTCTCCTTTAGAATCTAATCATTCTTTTATTCCACCTCCAAACACTTTTGGTCAAGCAAAAGCACCACCTCCCAAACAAGACTTTGGTCAAGGAACAACCAAAAATGCTAATCAAAATTCCTCTGCTCACCCACCCCACTTAAATATGGATGACAGTGTGAATCAGAGTAATATTGAATTAAAAAATGTTAACCGAAACAATGTACTTAATCAAGAGAACAGTCGTTCAGGAAGCACTGAAGGTACAAACAACAGCCATGCAAATGGGACGCAGAATAAGCCACGACAACCTAGAAGTGCAGCCGACATGTGCACCACAGAGAAAAGCAATAAGTCCTCTCTCCACCCCAGCCGTCACGGCCATTCGTCTTCCGACCCGGTGTATCCATGTGGAATTTGTACAAATGAAGTGAATGATGATCAGGATGCCATTTTGTGTGAGGCCTCCTGTCAGAAGTGGTTTCACCGGATCTGCACTGGGATGACTGAAACAGCTTATGGCCTCCTCACTGCAGAAGCCTCAGCAGTGTGGGGCTGCGACACCTGTATGGCTGACAAAGATGTCCAGTTAATGCGCACCAGAGAAACTTTTGGGCCCCCTGCTGTGGGCAGTGATGCTTAGTCACAGGCATTAACTAAAATGGGCTTTTCCCTGTGTACTGCAGAGGTTCTGACAGGATTTTAATGTTTGACATTATTTTTGTTAATGCACACACAAAACATTACTGCCTTTTAGTCCTTACTACTACTCTACTTCATCACTACTGCAATTTCTGTATTGTTGCTATCTTAAAAGAGAATAATGGATGTGAGGGTGCTTTAGAAACACCTCTAAGTAAATGCTTTGATATTTATCATAAACATAAAAGCCTCATGAAGCTTCAAAATAACTTATAACAAAGGTAGGCAAGTTTTAACTTTCAAAGTTTAGACTAATTGAAAAATGTGTGTTTCAGTGCTGAACTTTGGCCACACCACATTAAACATTTAGTTCAAAGTTTTTTAAGGATCCATTTAAATGTTTTCCATATACATAAAATATGCAGCTATAACATGGAGGAAAGCATACATTTTAATGGATTAAAAAAAATAAGAGTATGGTGTTAGATTCCTTCTCTACTAGGGTCTTTGAAATTAGTGGATTTCAGATTTTGAACTCAGTCTCTAGAGGATATCTGCAGGTGCAAGACAGAGAGACTTTAGCATACAGTGGATTCTCAGTAAGAATTTGTTAATTAACTTGTAGATGGTGCTCCATGAAATTGCTCATATTTGATCAGTTGAAAATTGACTGCAGTTAGTAAGATGGTATAAAGTATGTTTCCAGTTTTACTGTTTAGAATTATGTTAGAATTATGTGCTTAATATTCCGTGACTATTCAGTTGTTTTCTGGAGAAATAAATAATAGAGCACCCTCAGAAGAATTGCGAACACTTTGTTTTACATGACTTTAAACTGGGACATATTGCAAATAAGAAAGAGGTAGAAGCATCAGTTTGGCCTCAGAGGGCTCTACTGGCCAAAGAACTCCACAGAGGTGGGTTGAAAAATCTTGCTCTGGGAGTCCGAGCTTCCAAAATGAACCTCAGGGAAGATCAAAATCCATTTTAAACCAAGTCCAACTTAGAGCCAAGGTGAAAGCTAACTTGCAAACAAATTAAGGCCTTGCTTCAGGCTTAGGAGTTTTCTACTGCAACTGGGAAAAGTGTGAAAATGGATCTGAGAGTATAGTAGCTCCAGAGAGAATGGAGACAGTTGGAGGTACGCTCATTGACAGTCAAAATAGCAAGCCAGGCACCAGTGGCTCATGTCTGTAATCTTAACTACTTGAGAGGCAGAGATCAGAAGGATCAAGGATTGAGGCCAACTTGATTTTTTGAGACCCTTTCTCAAAAACACCCAACACAGAAAAAGGCCTGGCAGAGTGGTTCAAGTGGGTAGAGGGCCTGCCTTACAAGTGAAGCCCTGAGTTCAAACTCCAGTACCTCAAAAACATATATATAGTCAAAACAGCAAAAGCCCATTTTTGGAGCAGATCAGAACCTATGACCAAAATAAATGTGAAGAGATTGGATGGTTGGATGTTGACGAAGTTCACTGACAGTGCACCACCATTATTACTTCCATCATAAGAGTTATGAAGACCTGGGGCAAACAATGACAGCAGCAGCATGTTGTCAAGAAATTTAAATCATGCATGAGAATCTTGACTGAAAAGCAAAACTCTTGGACCAGGGTCAGTGGCTCACGTCTGTAACACCAGCTGCGTGGCAGGCAGAGATAAAAGGATTGCAATATGAGACCAGCCCAGGCAAAAAGTTGGTGAGACCCTATCTCAAATAACAAACTGAGTATGGTGTGGACACATCTATAATCCCAGCTATGTGGGAGACATAGATAGGAAGATCATGGTCCAAGGCTGGCCTGGGCAAAATTAAGACCCAATTTGAAAAATAACTTAAGCAAAAAGGGCTAGGGGTATGGCTCAAGTGATAGACCTCTTAGGCCTTGAGTTCAGTTAACAGATGTGAGCCCATACTTTTACAGGACAGGACTTGTCACATGTTGCCAGGCACTACAGCCACATTAACTGACTGGGCCATGAAGCTTTCTCATATCCATCATGGTCATGGATGTTTATCTCATGGACTACGGCTTTTCTTAGGAGCTTTTCCTAAGAAACGACATACTCCCCAATTAAACAGTAACTGGAGGATTTGAACAATTATACAGTCTAAACAAAATGATGAGTTTTATAAAAAGTATCTTGTTGGAAGAAAACAGTGGTTCTGATGAATATTTTGATTGAATAAAACTTATTTTTTTTTATCTACAGTGTTTTAATTTCTTCATAACCAAACAGCAATTTCATATGGTGCAAGGTAATACAAGGTTTTTTCCATTTCTCCTGACTACTTAGAAGTGAGTATAAAACATTTTCAATAGCTATGTAATATATATCTTCACAACTTTAAGAAGGGAGTGACATAAATTCTGAAACTAGGTATTCGTTTGTGTGAAAACTTTACCATTGGAAGTAGGTTAAGATGCAGTATTTGGGGGATTTGGTGGTATTCAGTACATACTTGAAGATCCGTTTGCCTGCATTATTATTTTTGCTAGAAATAATTCTCTAAATGTTTAAGGACCTGGTTTTGGTTTTCTTAAAATTGAGTACCTACTTTCAGTACATGATGCCCACTCCTAGCATTGTGACTTTACTTTTATGACAGATAGAACTAGATGAATATTATGAGTAGAACCTTGTAGTGCTCTCAGGAGTTGATATTCTACATTGTAGTGCTTGAGTTGCTAAAAATGGGTTATATGGTTTCTTAAACCCTTTATTGCTTAACAGTTTTAGTAGTTAACTTTATGAAAATGAAGTAACCTTTTCAGATCTAGTCTAAAGATATTTGATTTATAAGGTGATTTATTTTCTATTTCCAAACAGTTATTTTTTTAAGGAACTTATAAACAGGTAAATTTCTGTTCAAGTATTTAAGTTTCAAAACACCTTACTTAAATAAGAATCTGTAAATATTCTACGAAAAACCCATGGTTGATTCTGATATGAGTGTTTTCATGTGTTTGAATTCTCTTACTAGTTTCACATTTGTCTCTATAAAACATCAAGTCAAAAGTTATATAGATACTTTTGATAAGGAAAAGTGATAAATTACGAGAATGGCCAGAATATTTGTCCAATTTGACCCAAAGAAGATTTTCTTAGAACAAGTGATAAGCTGCCCTCAACTTTTAAAATATAACGATAGAAACAAATAGAGCGCCAGGCATAGTGGCTCACACCTGTAATCCTAGCTACTCAGGAGGCAGAGTTCAGGAGGTTCGAAGTTCAAAGCCAGCTGGTGGAAATAATTCTGCAGACCCTATCTTGAAAATACCCAACACAAAAAAGGGCTGACGGAGTGGCTCAAGTATTAGAGAACCTGCCTAGTAAGTGTGAAGCCCTGAGTTTAAATCAAGTACCACCAAAACAAACAAATGAACAAAAGAAATACAGATGGAATTGTATCTTTCAGGGTATGTTCCTTTTCCACCACTGAAAGGCCTCAGCTTATATACACACATATGTACAAAGACACACACAGACAACTAAGCAGGATGTCTTGGAGTGTCTCCTCCATCCTCAAGTTTTGCTGAAGTTCAGCCTGGCTAATTGGTAGCACGTAGGCTCACTCCCTGAGGCAGGGTACTGATGAACAGTTTCAAGCATCACTTTTTCCTTAGAATTTACTTTGCTCATCTCTGGAGGATTCATGGTGCATGTGCTTCTAGATGTCACTGTACACACAGACACTGAAGCAGCCTACTTTATAAAAGAAAGTGAGTCATTCTTCACATAGAGCACTTAGAATTAGACTTGCGGTCAGTGTTTTCCTTTTGGGTGAAATACTTTAGAGTGCTGCTATTATGGTTCTTGTTATCCAAATTAGACTATGTACATGAAGCTTAAGATTTTCTTCTACTAGTGCTTATTCTTCATAGATATAAGCATAATATGAAGATACCCAGTTTTTTGGTGGGTTTTTTTTAGACTCCCACCTCTGTCTAGTGGAAGAAAAATAATACAGGTCATCATGAAATCTGATGGTTTTAATCATACGCATGAAATGTGTCAAGTTTTCATCTAACATTCTTTCATACTTTGTCTTGAATAAATTAGAGTGCTAGAAGTTATCAAACATACTAATTGTATGTAATAGTAAGCAAATATATAAGCAAATGACTTTGTGGAGGTTTTTGTTTGTTTGTTTGTTTTGCTTTTGAGGTGCTGGGGATCAAACCCAGGATCTTGCACATGCTAGGCAAGTGCTCTACCACTGAGTTAAAACCCCTGCCCTAGGCAATGATTTTTAAAAGGGAGTTCTAAAATGTTTTGGAGTTCTTTTTTGCAGTGTATAGAGATTTCATACGCATGAACATTTGTGCTATTTTAGACTTTTTAATTAAAGTTGAAAAGCATCCAGACTCTGGAAGTTCATTTGTAAATAGTGCCTTGGAATGCTCTATAAGCGGTTAGATTCTTAGGGAAGTTTATGAAGTCTTATTTAAACCCTAATGTAGTTAACTGTTCTTACCATCCTGAGTCTCAGTTTTCTTTAGGGAGGCAATCAGTGTGAGAGAGAAAGAAGCAGAGGTCTTTCCTTTCTCCTGATGGAATTAGGAAGGTTAAGTTCTTCGTTGTTGGGCCATTTCCCAGTTCCCTCTTGCAGTTCTAAACTCTGGTGGGATGCTTCTAAACAGGCTGTCCTTTCCCTCCTTGGTCCTCTTGTGCTCCAGCAGTTTCCATCTTTCCTCTGGTCAAAAATTCTATTTCTTTTGTGTGGTATTGGCTGGCTAGATTTTAAGGAAAATACATTTTTCTGTTAAGATACAAATGAAGATGGTAGAGAAAGTGACATTAAATTTCTTTGTTTTTAATAAGAACATTCAGAATGGATCTTTAATATCTAAGATTTCAGATAATCTGACCACATTTCAAGTACCATGGTATTTTAGCAAATTAGCTAGTGCTGTCTTAAGCGTACTTCTCAGTTCACTTCCTTTAGGTTGTTTTGACTCTTCACAGCTTCCTGTCCTGTAGTTCTGAACTCAGAGGTTTCTTCTCATTTCCAAGTTTCAGTAACTTCCTTTTCCTCTCTGTATTAAATCACATCTGCATTTCCCACCTCTTGGTGGCACTGTCAAAGGGGTTTGGAGACACTGGAGCAAGGAGGCTAGGGACAAGTAGTCCAGGGAAACAGTGGAATGAAAGGGCCATATTTAGGCGTAGCATTAACCCAGTAGACATGCCTGTGTTGAATTAAAAACTGTTAATAAAACCCAGTGGATAAGCTTCATCCTCATCGTATTTTACCAGCACAACATTACTTATATTAAAACTTACTCTAAATACCTGTACCTTTCTTGTTCTGTAGATGCGTAGTTGATGTTGCTTGTTAGTTAAAATGTTATCTTTTATAAAAGAAAGTCCTGCTTCTTATCATGATGTATGTGACTTAAATGATTGTTTCATATTAAAACTATTTCTTCCTTATGTACTGTTTACATATACCTCTTTTTGGGATATTAGTTCAGTACTTTTATACAAATCTGAGTGTGTTCCACATTGGTGACATGTATTTTTGCAGTAAATTTTGGTTTTGTTTTTAGAGCATGTCTAAAGTAATACATGCACTAGTGCTGTGGTCTGTGGCAAAATTACTGTAATTCAAATTGGAAAATAAAATGTTTCCAGACTTTGTCCAACATTTATTCCTATGGCAAAGGAAATTACTATGTAATACTAATTATTTCTTATGCTGGTATGTTTTAAGCTACTCTATGAAGTATGTGAAACATCAATATTTGTGGATTAGCAGATGGTCTCATATCTTTGAAATGTGAGAGAGGAGGAAAATTTGGTATTAGCAATTCGTGACACTTATACTACAATAAATACTTCCTAAAATTTTGATCAACTGCTGGATGTGGTGTTGCACTTCCGTAATCTCAGCACTCAGGAGGCTGAGGCAGATGGAACTCAACTTCGAGGCCAGCCTGGGCTACATAGTGAGACCTTGTCTCAGAATTTTTTTTTTTTTTTGATCTACTTACAGGGATAATTTACTAAGGAGTTATCTTAATAACAGTGCATGTTAGGATTTTTTTAGCCCATACTACTAACAGATTTTAAACTTAAGATGATGTCTCTAATAACAAACAATATCATTCACTCTACCACAAGCAAAATAAGTAGTAATACTAATCTTCACTTAAAAATTATTAAGCTACCATAAAACTATATTTAGAATTTGTATCCATTGATATAAAGACTTGAATGCTGTTTACTTTATACTACCCACCCAATGAAAAGATTTGCTAATAAAAGTCATAATCAAGATTTTTTAAATGTTCATTGTAAAGCCAACTTTTTAAAAAATTTTTAAAGGCAGTTATTTAAAAATACTAGTTTAAAAGCATTTTTATTTTGTCATTAAAACAAGTAGTCAAGAGAATTATAATAAATACTTCTTGGCCAATGCAAATTTGCATATTTAAAAGTACATACTCAAAAGTTTAAAAAAAGAATGCTTATGAGTGCTTAAACTGAAAATCTTTTAAAATATTCAAAATTTTAGTCTTTTTATCAATTCAAACTGTCCTGAATTAATAAGGTCTCACTATATCAGTGAATATATTACAAAATAAATGTCTACCTATGTTAATAATATTTCTATGTTGCATTATATTTGGCATGGTGGTTGTAGAATTTTGTACTTATAATTGTTGACTGTTGTTAGGATAATATAGCAATAAGTCTGACTCAGTCTTAATATTTTTTAGAATTCCAGATTCCATACTGTGTCATAATCTCATTATAGTTGACCTGAATGCCCATAGTTTCATAGGTCTGTTTTTCATGTTAAAAATGTACATGTTTAAGGTTTATTTTTGTCTGATATTTTCAAATACAGTCTTCTAGAACTGGGTATATTGGTATATTTCTATTTAAGTCATAGAAGTTTAATGAAGTATTAGTATTAAATGATTCATGAGCTGCTTTTTGGTAAAGCTGAAATAAAGTATGCAATTAGTAGATGATCCCAAATTGTTTATCTTTATGTGGTTTGCACACAGGTTACAGTTTTCAAAGAAATAAAACTGGTTAGAACTCTGATAGAATATAGTAAATCATAGATTGTTTGCTTAAAGGCTTCCAAGTGTTAGTTATGGTCCCAATCCTGAAATACTTTACAGTAATCACTGTAAATTGTGAAAGTCACCTCCCCTTTCTGAGGCATTTAACTCATACAGATTTCCCCTCTGACCCTATGCCCTTCTCCCCTAAACTTTGGGCTAGAACTTACAATTAGAATTGGTCTTCCACGTGTTAACTTTTTATTATAAAATCCAAGACAATAGAGGTTCTGCTGTCAGGACTTCCATGTTATTGTTAGCCATTCTTTTCAGGGATAACATTAATGTCATTTGTGCATTGTAGAAGGAATGTCGGTACACAGACCTACCATCAGTAGAAATGATGTATGGCAGGCTTTCTTGAATATGTATTGTAAGTTTGTTCCTATAGTGTTGTTATTCAAATTATTTTAAATAAAGCTAGTTTTTAACGAGAAGACCTGTTTTTAAATGTTTGACTTTTATCTTTCCTTAGGATAAGTAGGTGAAGCGTCTTGACTTGGGGTGCAATATGTCCAACTAAACATTAAGCAGGGCAATAGGCTATAGTAGCCTACAGTTAACCAGGGATTTAATTTTATACTGAAAGAACCAATACTTTTGGTCAGGCCTTGCTATATATAAATACATTTGTCAGCAAATTATATACATAACCCTAAATCCTGGGTTTCCTTTAGAAATGGTGCCTGGAAGTGAGGGGGATGGAGGGAGGAGGAAAGGAGTGGGGGGCAGGAGGGTGACCCAAACAATGTATACACATATGAGTAAGTGTATAAACAATTAAAAAAAAAAGAAATTAAAAAAAAAACAAATGGTGAGCTTATATGTCTATTTTGATTTTAACAAATTAGGGCTCCTGTTAATAGAAAATTAGAAGAATCTACAACCTTAGCAGTTGAAAGATCCCTGAGGCAGAGATGACAATGTGGCATCAATTAAAAAACAGGAGTGGGAGGGTGGGGGAGGTGAGCACAGGTAGCTCACGCCTGTAATCTTAGCTACTCAGGAGGCGGAGATCAGGAGGATCATGGTTTGAAGTTAGCCTGGGCAGATAGTTCAAGAGCCCTTATCTTGAAAAACTCTTCACAAAAATAGGGCTGGTGGAGTAGCTCAAGGTGTAGGCCCTGAGTTCAAACCCCAGTACCACAAAAAAATAAATAAACTTGAAACTGAGCGCCAGTGGCTCACAGCTGTAATCCTGGCTACTCAGGAGGCAAAGATCAGGAGGATCTTGGTTTAAAGTCAGCCCTGGGCAAATAGTTCGCAAGACCCTATCTCCAAAATACCCAACATTTAAAAGAAGAAGAAAAATACAAGGGCAAAAGGGCTAGTGGAATAGATCAAGTGGTAGAGTACCTTCCTAGCAAGTGTGAGGCCCCTGAGTACAAACGCAAGTACCACCAAAAAAAAAAAAAAAAGTCAAAAATAAACTTGGCCTGGTGCAGTTACACCTGTAACTCCAGCTACTGAAGAGGCAACAATTGGGAGGATTATGTTTTGAGACCACCCTGGGCAAAAAAAAAAAGTTAATGAGACCCCATCTAAATAAATCAGGCATGGTGGTACATTTCCATAATCCCAGCTATGAGGGAGATTATGGTCCAAATCCTTAGGCATAAATGAGACCCTATCTGAAAATCTGAAAAATAACTAAAGCAAAAAGAGGTGGTGATAGAGTACCTGTCTAGCAAGTGTGAGGCCCTAAGTTCAAACCCCACTACCACAAAAAGAAAAAGTCACATTTAGCTGGGTGCCAGCGGCTCTTGCCTATAATCCTAGCTACTTGGGAGGCCGAGATCAGGAAGATCAAGATTTGAGTCCAGTCTGGACAAATAGTTCATGAAATCCCATCATAAAAACCAGAGCAAAATGAACTGGAGATGTGGCTCAAGCAGTAGAGTGCCTGCTTTGCAAGCTCTAGTCCTGAAGTCAAAGTCCAGTCCTACCAAAAACCAAACAACCAAAAGAAATAATCACATTTAAAAATTTTAAATCTCAACTAAGAATATAAATACAATATAGTTTCTAAACCACTAGAAGGAAAAGCAGAATATAGAAAATTTTATCAAGCCAATGAAAGACAAGAAGGAGCTAAAGAAGCAAGGTTAAAAAGACAATAAACAAAAACCAAAGCGAAGAGGGATTTCAGTGAATGAATGGATTGATACTGTCAGATCAAGCCAAGAAGAATTCTGTCATAGGTGGGGACCTCAGACAGAAGGTGACAGACCTCTTCACTGGGAGGGAGACTGGGGTGGGAGGATGGAGAATTCCAGGCTAGCCTAGCTAGACCCTGTCTCAAATAAATAAATAAAATAAAATAAAATCTAGAGCCTAGATTTTGGTCTGTGAAACCCTTTTCTACTAAAAAGAACCAAGAGTTCTTGGAAAATGACTGATTCTGTGTCCTAAAAAGTAAAAAACATTTCCTGGTTCTGGAAGCCCATGGGTGAGCAGTGGCACCCTTCACCCAGAGGTCCTGGAAGGAATCCTGGACCGGCCGCTGCCTGCTCCCACAGCATATGAAGACCAAGCCACTGCTCAGTCTGCTTGCTAAGCTGGACATGGAGCAGTGGCAGTTTTCTGGCTGAAATCTGGAGTTTTTGGTATTTGGGCTCAAGGAGTCACAATTTGGGTCCATAAAGGAAGGGAAAAAAGAAAAATTCAGGGTAGCCCTTTAGCATTTTACTGCCAGTATAAGGGATTTTTTTCAAAACTTTTTTAAAACTTCAGCAGTGATGTTAAAAGAATGTAGGAAATAACCTTTTCCAATGGCCACATTTAAAAGCTTGACCCATCAAAAATAAGTAACAGTCCAATCCCAAGCATTATAAATAATTTAAATTACAGCTAATTAGTTTTGGATGTGGAATAATAAAGCCAATGAAACTTTTGCTTTCATTAGGTACATTTTTAGTCTTTTTGAATCTCATGGAATGTAACAAGTAAATAAGGAGGCTTCTCTAAAGATTGGGTTTTTTTTTAATTTTTTTTTCCAGAAACTTTGGAAGGAATTTTTTAAAATTTTACTTTAATTGTGTAATATTTGTTACAAACAAAATAATATATGTAAGTAACAAATTATATATAAATCCACTGAGAGAGAGAGAGAGAGAGAAACACTTGGCAACTTCGAGGCTCTACAATTACATCTATTAACATAATCAACAGAATGAAGCAAAAATGACCTTGAGTGTTCTTTTTGGGTTTTCCTAGGCAACCAGCCAGGGAGACCTGGACTCATCGTGGAGGAGCTGCACCTCAACTCAGCTTCCCACAGGACTGATGGCTTCTTCCAACTGCACCTTTCTGTGTGGTTTGATGCCTCCACACACCGCAGGCTGACTTTCTTGGACGACTCCTTTATAAATAAACCAAGACTGCATGATGCTTTAGTAGTTTCTCTAATGACAAGTTTCCTTTCATACTTGCTTTGTATGAAGCGAAAGCAACAAGGGGATGGGACTCCTTGCCTTAATGCAAACCCACCATGAAGAGCTAGCAGAGTGCCTGGCCTCAGTGGGCCTCTCCTTGAGAAAGGGAGGACCTGTGTTTTTTCTTGACTTTGTAAGTTTCCCGCTTTCTCCAAATAAAAGCTTTGGTTCTCAAATTTTAGTATGTAACAGAATTATCTGATGAGTTTGTTAAACACAGATTGCTGGTTCTATTCCCAGGGTTGCTAGTTCCATAAGTCTGAAGAGGGCCTGGGAGTCTGCATTTCTAACACTTCCCCCAGGTGATGCTGATAGTGTTGGGAGATTTTTGTTTTGTTTTGTTGTTTAAGACAGGATTTCTCTATGTAGCCAAAGCTGACTTCAAACTCATGATTCTCCTGACTCAGCCTCTTGAGTGCTGGGATTACAGGTGTGTACTACCATGCCTGGCTATGGTTAGTACTTTTTATGTCATATTTCAGGAATTCTTCCTTACTCCAAGATTACACAGCTATTACTATTCCTTTAAGTTTCAAGCATTTATATCTTTGGTTCATCTACAACTCAGTTTTGTGTTTTTATTTTTTTTCTTGGAAGAACTGGGGTTTGAACTCAGGGCTTTGCACTTTGCTCTACCACTTGAGCCACACCTCTTGTCCATTTTGCTCTGGTTATTTTGGAGATGGGGGATCTCTCAAACTATTGCCTGGGCTGTCCTCAACCTTGATCCTCTTGATCTCAGCCTCCTGACTAGCTAGAATTACAGACATAACCACAGGCATCTGGTTACAATTAATCTTCTATGTGTGACATTGTATGTGTGTAGAGATCCAATCTCACTTTTTCCATATGGTAACCATTTCTCCCAGTACTGTGTACTCAATAGTCATTCCTTTCTTTGCATTTCCCATTGATGTGTAGAGCTACCTTTGCCATATATCAATTTCTATCCACCTATAGGTTAGGCTAGAGCTTTCTAAAAAATCTAATAAATACAGACTTTAAGATTGAGTTAGTGTCAAGGCTTGTGAAATAAGAGATGTGCCTAAGTCATGGAACAATGTATACAGATTAATGTTTTAAATTGGTATCAGTCCCTGCTCAGTAATAAAACTTGACAAGTTTTTGGTTAAGATATAATTCACTCAGAATTATGTTTAGTAAGGTACAGTTGTCTGGAGAACAATTTTGCTGCAGAGTTGTATATGTACTTACCAAAGTGATTGCTAACAATTTTTCGGAATACTCCAAACACCACATCTATCATTTTTATTATTACCTTATATATACACATAAATTCACTTGTATTTTTATTAATGGGAGAACCTAGGCTTTAAAATTTTATATGAATGGAAGTTGAGCATAATATTACACGCCTGTAATCCCAGCACTCAGGAGACTATGACAGGAGGATTTCAAGTTTGAGGCTAGCCTGGATTAAAGAGGGAGACATTGTCTCAAAAAAGACAAAAGAAAATTTATATAAAAGGGATGTGCAAACTTTGACTTCAGAAGACATGTGAGAGCTTGAAACAATATGGTAGAAATAGGAATAGAACGAAAAGGGGGAAAATGCCAAAAGTACTATGAAAAAAAAGTGCAGGAGTCATACGTTTCTCAGCTTAAAGGGACAACGGAAAAAGAAGTCTCAGATGACTCCCAGTATTCAAAGTTCCCTGAAGCTTGAGATCAGTGAGTGCTAATAAACGTGGTTAAGGTGGTCAGGAGTGCCCTGTTCCGGGGAAAAGATAATTTCTGCTGTTCTAAACTTTCCTCAAGGAATTTCTTAGGGGCTTTGAAATTTGTGCAAACAGCCTCCAAAAGTTAAAAAAAGTTTAAAACCCCAATCCCTAGGTGGCAAATTGCTGGGAGGTACTGAAACATGGCTTTGGCCTCATATTCCAGTGGTTTATAAGCCGGGGCTATGGACAGCAGCCCAGCGAAAGAGCATTGGACTGGCAGAGGAGATGGGGATTTGATCACCGCCCTGCCACTCATCCCTGTGACAGTGGTCTTTAGTGCACGGGCCTCGGACTCCGTGAGCATGTAGGACCAAACTACGCGGCCTTCAAGGTTTTGCCAGGCTAAAAGTCACTCTACTTGAACAACTGTAAAGTGTGTCAGTGTAAATGCAACTTATCCAACTACTGGGGACGGCCAGCCTCCGCCAGGTGAGCTCTGGGCTCCTCTCCAGCTCTCACACTCTGCCTCTGACAGCCTCAAAGCAGAAGTGCAGACTCGCTGGTACGTCTGCATGACCATGACCAAGACATTTCCTAAACAGATTTATGGATTGGCAGGGTGTCGCTATGTAGCCGAGGCAGGCCTCACACCTCCACCCTCAGGTGCTGGGATTATAGCAGTGCAACAACACGCCGGGCAAACGGGTGCTCACTCTTAAAAGCCGTGGTCAGGGCCCATCAAGGTTCGGCTTTGATGGCACGTGGGTGTCGCACCTACTCCGCGCGGGCCTCGCTTTCCGCCTCCGTAAGGCCACAGCCCTTCTTTGAAGTCTAAGGCATGAAGCTCTTCCTTTTCTTAAGCACAGCATGTAGGGCTGCTTCTTTCAAACGAAGAGGAAAAGGGTAGCCCAGGCAGTGGCCTAGCACGGCAGCTCCGCGCCTCAGGCAGTCCCGGGAGGGCCAGGACGCGCGCGGTGCACGCCGAGAACCCGCAGTTCCGCGGCCCGGCCTGACCCGGAAGGACTAGCGCGTGCTGACCTCAGCTTCCCTAGCAACCGAACGAGCGCGGGGAGCAACCAGCCACGCCGGCTGCTCCGCGATGCCGCTGCTAGTGAGCAATTACAGCTGGCAGCAGACCAAAGCCTCAGTCTTTCTCTCTCTGCCCCTACGAGGCGTCTGCGTCAGAGACGCGGACGTGTTCTGTGCGGAAAACTATCTGAAGGTAGGCATCCGAGTGCGTCCGCCGCGTCCTGGGGGCGTGGCCCGACGCTTCCGCCGCCGCGCGCCACGCGCGACTCGTGCGTCCTTGCCCGCCACCGAGTCGTATGCAGGTGGCATCTCAAATACAAGCAAGTGTCAGCAGGTCAAATATGACTTTAATCCAGGGCTTCCTTATAGCCCTTGCTAAATTGGGCTACCTGGATCTTTAAGAAAAGTAGGCCTTTATTCTTTTGATAGCCATATCTCTAATTTGTGTAACTAATTTCCGTTTTCTCCCTTCGGAACAGGTCAACTTTCCCCCATTTTTATTTGAGGTATTTCTGTATGCTCCCATAGACGAAGCGAGCAGCAAAGCAAAGATTGGGAATGACACTATTATCTTTACCCTGTGTAAAAAAGAAGCGGTCATGTGGGAGACCCTTTGTATATCAGGTGGTAAGTGTTTTGTTAAACCATGTTCGTCTGCCTGGGCATGGTGGTTCATGCCTGTAGTCCCAGCATTTGGGAAACTGAGGCAAAAGGAGCGAGCTTTAGCCCAGCCTGGACTACATAGTAAGACCTGTTTCAAAACAAAACAAAAACCCTGTTCATCTGGTTGTGCTTTTTCTGTTTTAAAAAACTTTTTTTTTTTTTTTTTGGTAGTGCTACTGGTGTTTGAACTCAGAGCCTTGTGCTTGCTAGGCAAACCTTCTACCACTTAAGCCGGTGCCACCAGCTGTTTTTATTTTAGCTATTTTTCAAATAGGGTCTTATGTTTTTGCCCAGGTGGCCTGGACTGCAGGCCATGCTTCTTTGTTGCCTGAGATGACAGGTAGGTGCCACCACACCTAGCTTATTGGATGAGATGGACATGTCCCATGCTGGCCTTGAATTTCGATCCTCCCCATCTCCACCTCCCAAATAGCTGGGATTCTAGGCATGAATCACCACACTTGGCTAAGTAATTCTCTTTTAAGGTTGGGATGTAACTCAATGACAGGGTCCTTGCCTAAGTTTACATAAGGCCCTGGGGTTGATCCCCAGCACTGCAAAACAAAAAACAAAAAACAAAATCCAAAAACCTTTGAACAACTAAGTTGTGTAGGGAAAGAAAAACTCCGAGATCGTATAGCTTGGTTTATGAAGCAAACTAACTAGCAGATTAACAGCAGACAATTTATACAATTTTATTAATTTTTAAGATGTGCTTGGGGGCATCACGGAAAGAAAAGTGAATACCTAAAAGATGATGAGATTTAGCCTGGTGCCAGTGGCTTACCCCTGGAATCCTAGCTACTTGGGAGGATGAGGTTAGGAGGATTGAAGTTTGAGGCCTGTCCAAGTAAATAGTTCCAGAGATACCTATCTCCAAAATAATCACAGCAAAATGGACTGGAGGTGCGGCTCAAGTGGTGTAGACACTGCTTTGCAAGCATAAAGCCCTGAGTTCAAATCCCAGTCCCACCAAAAAAGTGAAGTTTGAGTTTATATAGACTTTCTTAATAAGGAAATGCTAGCAAGGGAGTGAAGACCACTTAGGCCAGTAAGTGCTTAGGAAAGATGAACAGGTCATTTTGTGGTACGGGGGTTTGAATTCAAGGCATTGTGCTTGGTAGGCAAGCAGTCTACTATTTGAACCATGCACCAACAGCTTTGTTTTCCTTTTTGATACAGGGTCTCGATATGTAGTGCAGGCTGGCCTTGAACTCTTAATCCTCCTTCATCAGCCTCCCAAGTGCTGGATTTACAGGTGTGCTCCACATGCTGGCTTGAACAGGGCTTTGGAATAGGTGGGAGATAAGAGTTTGTATGAAAGTTAGAGTGTAGTGTGGAGCTCTAGTCTCCTCTCCTGTGGTAAGAATTAATACTAGCCCAGTTAAGTGGCACATGCCACTTAGTAGTCCCAACTACTTGGGAGGCTGAGGCAGGAGGATTGATTGAACCCAGGAGTTCAAGATCAGCCTGGCCAAGACCCCATCTTTAAAAACAAACAAACAAAAAAATGAGTCAGTACTCCCTGATTGATGAAACTCCAATTTATGACAATTGAGGGGTTTTTATTTTGTTTTCTTTTGTTTTTTTATAAAGGATCTGTTTCTAGGCAGATAAGAGGAGTTCAGAGAAAGCCTCTACTTGCACTTGTTTTATAAATGCCTTCTCTTAGGGTATCAGGAACTAGAGAAAAGGTTAGTTTGAGAAGAATTAATTTAGAAGGTAACACACATGTACAGGAAAGCAATGCCAGTCAACTCCCTGTATAGCTATCTTTATCTCAACCAGCAAAAACCCTTGTTCCCTCCTATTATTGCTTATACTCTCTCTACAACAAAATCAGAGATAAGGGCAAAATAGTTACTGCCTGGTAGTGAGTGGGATAGGGGGGCTGAGAGAGGGGGCGGGGGAGGTGGGGAGAAATGACCCAAACATTGTATGCACATATGAGTAAAAGAAAAAAAAATGCCTTCTCTTCAACACAGTCAATACACCAAAGCGCTATATTTGGGGGAGGCATGTCTGATCTCCTTTAATTGCTGTCACAGAAAAAATAGATACCGTTGCCTGATTTAAATGAGATAATGCTTCAGTGGCCACTTCCCAAAGATTGAATTGTTAAAGTGAGAGCACAGTAAGCAGAAGAGATGTGGGTAAGCCTTCCTGGTAGGTCCTTTATTGAGAACTCACTTGTGTCAGGCAGTACCATAATTGTTAATCCTCGAAACAACCTATCACTTAATCACTTAGGTTGAATTACCCTTTTTTTTTTTTTAAGGATTGCAAGTTCATAGCTAGTCTGGAATACACTGAGACCTTGTCTTTAAAAAAAGATCTGAAAAAAATTAAGTGACAAACAAAAACCAAAAACAGCTAGCACCTGTAGTCCCAGCACTAGGAAGGCTGAGGCAGGAGGATCGCTTAAGCCCGGAAGTTTAAGACAAGTCTGAGCAACATACACCCTGTTTCTAAATAGAGAGGTGGATATAAAAATACATAGATAAATAAAAACGTGATGAAGGTGTACATAAAAAGGGTCTGCTGGACAAAAAGGTTAAGAACCCATCCCTAGGGCAGGATTCATCCCTCCACCCTGTTACCCCCATCCACTGTCCCCCACTTTACCTCTACCCACGCCCCAATTTTCTCCCCTACCATTTTTTTTTTCTCTCAAAGGCTATCCTTTCCCTCTGGGCCTGATTCCCTCCTTCCCTAAGCTAATTTACCCACTAGTGAATCACAGCCTGCAGTTTGTAAAGCATTTAGCTATAGTGAATATAAAAATAATTGTGAATGGAAACCTTTTATATAGCATGTGTTGTTACTGCAGAAGTTTTTCCAGGACTGGCCCTGTGTTCTTCATATGTATAAAATACTACTTTAAGCTTTTGAAGAATACTGGTCATTTCAGATGATGCCACCTTTCTCTTCATCTTTCCCTTCTAGAGGACCCCATAAGGATGTATTACGGTGACAAAATTTTTAATCTCTACAGAGAGGAGGGAGGATAAATCTGTTACCATGTTTCTCCTCTCTCCTTCCCTCTTATTCCCTCCCTCTCCTGTGTCCCTCCTCCATTCCTTCATCTTCCTCCTCATTACACCGTAAATTGCTCACCTTTGAATGTTAACCTCTTGGCTAGTTTAATATTAAAAAATGTTTTCATAATGACCATGGTGGTGCAGGCCAGTAGTCCCAGCATTCAGGAGGAGGAGGCAGGGTTCGAGGCCAGCTTAGGCTACATAGTGAGACCCTGTCAAAACAAAAACGAAAAGTTTTCACTTCTTACGGAGTTAGGTCAAAAGAAACCTCATCCTGGATCGTATGTTAAGTAGTTTTTCCTAAGTCAAGCAAATTAATCATAATCCTGATTTGGCGATATTCCTTATTTGTTAGTTGACAAAGAGATGATGCAAAGAATAAGAGAACAATCTATTTTGCAAGTACAAGAAAGGGCAAAAGAGGCTGCAGAAGCAAAAGCTACAGCAAAGCGGGAAGATCAAAAATACGCACTAAGTGTCATGATGAAGGTAAGTTGAAGATGGAATGGGATGTCATCCAAAGAAAGGTACTAGTGAGTGATATAAAGGTACTTAGTTCTAGTCACTGCTTTCTCATTGTTTGGTCATAGGTGTTACTATGTTAGGTAGACAATCCACTACTTACTGTGTTGCTAAAAATCTGTGGAACTGTTCAGAGAATAAACATCCAGAGATAAGCCAGACACTGTGGTACATGCCTGTAGTACAGTTACGCAGGAGGATGAGGTAAAGGACCACTTGAGCCTGGATGGTGATAGTTGGATGATTGATTTACTTGTTTTGGAAGAGATGGTGCTGTTTCTATGGAAATAAATACAGTTTCTATGGTGTGTTCTACTTCTTTTTAATCTTGGAATAATGGACACATTTGACAGTATCTTCTTAAATGTCAAGCTTTCAAGTGATATAATTTATATGTCACCCATTTAAAATGAGTACTTGTACTTGCCTAGCAAGTACAGTGCCCTGATTTCAATCCCTAACACTGCAAAAAGTAATAATAATAAAATTTAAAATATATATACAGTTTGATAGCTTTTAAGATATTCAGCATCGTGCAACTACCCCACAGTCACATTTAGAAAATTTTCATCACCCCAAAAAGAAACACAGTAGCCATTAATATTTACTCCCAATTTCCTGCTTCTATTCCTAGGCAAGTGCTTATCTACTTTCTGTCTCTATTGTTTTACCTGTTCTGACTAATTTTTACAAATGATTTCTTATCTTGAATTCTCCTTTTGACATGTGGAAATGATTAAGGATTCTGGAATAAGCATTATCCTATGAAGAGCTCCTTGGACCATGGCTCTTTCGTACTATATCAGTTTTTATAAGCAACAGATCATGATTCCAAGCATTTCTCTGCTTTTTTTGTCACTTCTACTAGATGACTTTTTTTTGAAACATTCTTTTATATAGCACCGACTGGCCTCAGTTCTAAGTGCTGGATTTACAGACAAGTACCATTGTGCCCATCCTATGGTTATGTACTATGTCTTTTTTTAATATGTTTATTTTTTGGTGCTATTGAGTGAACCCAGGGCTGTGCAAGCACTCTACCACTGAGCTGCATCTCCAACCTGACACTTTGCCTTTTACTTAATAATTGAACAAATGGCCAGAGATCTTTACCTTTAGTTTACTTGTTAATTTCCGTGTTTTTTGGATTATATTATTTTAGCTGAAAAAGAAGAAAGCTTAACTTTGCCATTTAGGGATATGAATACATAAAATATAAAGATGATGATATTAGGGGAATAGAACCTATGAAAGCTTGGAGCATGTATTAGAAACTACTTTGCCTCATCCTAGTAGTGTTGATAGTTAAGACTGTTTGCTTTCATCCTGATTATAGCCATTACCAAATAAATGGTTGTACTCAAATATTTGAATGAATTAATATAACTATGTTGCTTTAGTACAATGTACTTGTAGTAGAATTCTACTTTGATGGATATTTGAAGTTATTTGTATTCTGTCTGAGTTTGGACACCTTTTAGAAAGGAATTTGATAATCCAATAACAGCAGATGAAGAGATGTGACAACAGGCAATCTGTGACTAGCTGCACCCATAAATTTGCTTAAAAGTTGGATAACATCTACCAAAAATCATCATTTTAATTTAGGAGGAAGGGACAAGGTTTCACTGTGTAGTATAGGCTGGCCTTAAACTTAGGCTCCTGGTATTACGGATATATGCCACCATGTTATTTTTAAAAGTTGCTACTTTAAAAAGGCAATTTTATACAGGGTAATCCCAGCACTGGGGATCTGAAAAGAAAAAAAATCATTATTTAAAAAAAAAGTAGGTTTTTAAAGAAATTGATAATGGAAAGAACTAGGGGCAGGACTCAAATGGTAGAGCATCTGCTTAGCAAGTACAGATCCCTGAATTCAAAACCCAGTGCCATTAAAAAAAAAGAAGAAAAAATAAATGGAAAGAAAATAAACTATTTTTAAAGATACTATTTTTAAGTTATGCTTAAATGTACTGAACAAGCTGGAGGTGTAGCTCAAGCAGTAAAATGCCTGCTTAGCCAGTACGAGGCCTTGAGTTCAAACTCCAGTATCGCCTAACACACAAATACACATGCACATGTAACATGAAATTTACCATTTTAGTTAAGTACCAGTCACATTATTTAGCAACTATTGCCAACTCTATCTCCGTCTCTTCATTTCATAAAGTTGATACTCTGAGTCTGGCTCTAGTGGCTCATGCCAATAATCCTAACTACTTGGGAGGCTGAGATTGGGAGGATTAAAGTTCGGGGCCAACCCAGGCAAGTAGTTCTTGAGACCCTCATCTCCAAAATAACCAGAAAAAAATGGGCTGGAGGTGTGGCTCAAGTGTTAGAGTGCCTGCTTTAAAAGCATGAAGCCTTGAGTTCAAATCCCAGTTCAAGCAATGACAACAAAAAAATTGGAACTCTTTACCTATTAAGCAGTAGCACTTCATTCCCCTTCCTCAAAGCCCCTGAAATCCACCATTTTACTCTGTTATGAATTTGGCTCTTTTAAGTGCTTCATAGTGGTGGAATCACAGTATTTGCCTTTTTGTTGCTGGTTTATTTCTCTTAGCATACTGTCTTCAAGGTTCATCCTGTTTTTTTTCTTTGTTCGGATAGTATTGGTGTTTGAACTCAGGGCCTTGTGCTTGCTAGGCAGGTGCTCTACCACTTGAGCCATGCACCCAGCCTTTTTTTGTGTTGGTTATTTTTGAGGTTACTCTCTACTTGCTTGCTTTTTCTTTTCCTGTAATTTGGTGCTGCCTGTCCTTTCATGGTTATTTGGGTTTCACTTTCTGTGTGCAGAATCCCTTGAAGAATCTTTTGTAGTGATGGCTTTGTGGTCACATATTGTTTTAGTGTCTGCTTATCATGGAAAACTTTTATTGCTCCATCTATTTTGAATGATAGTTTTGCTGGGTAGAGTATCCTGGGGTTGAAGTTATTTTCTTTCAGTGCCCGGAAGATCTCACCCCACGCTCTTCTTGCTTTTAATGTTTCTGTTGAGAAGTCTGCTGTGATTTTGATGGGTTTACCTTTGTATGTTACTTGTTTTTTATCTCTTACAGCCTTCAATATTCTTTCCCTAGTTTCTGAACGTGTTGTTTTAATGATGATATGTCATGGGGTGGTTCTATTTTGATCTGGTCTGTTTGGTGTTCTGGAGGCCTCTTGCATTTGTATGGGAATAGATTTCTCTAGATTTAGGAAATTTTCTGTTATTATTTTGTTGAATATATTACATATTCCCTTTGCTTGCACCTCTTCTCCTTCTTCGATGCCCATGATTCTCAAGTTTGGTCTTTTGATGGAGTCGGTGAGTTCCTGCATTTTCTTTTTACAGGTCTTGAGTTGTTAAATTAATAGTTCTTCGGTTTTTCCTTTAATTACCATTTCATCTTTGAGTTCTAACATTCTGTCTTCTGTTTTTTCTATTCTGCTGGATTGGCCTTCCATTTTGTTTGCAATTCTGTTTCATTCTTTTTTCTGAGGTTTTCCATATCCTGAGTCCCTTCCTCTTTAATGTTGTCTATTTTCGTCCTGAGTTCATTTATCTCTATTATTCGTGTACTTTGTTTCACTTTGGTGTTTATACAGTGCTTCTATGGTTTCTTTTATTTCTTCTTTTGCTTTTTCAAATTCTCTATTTTTGTTGTCTTGGAATTTCTTGAGTGTCTCCTGTACATTTTGGTTGACCATATCCAGTATCATCTCTATAAAATTCTCATTGAGTACCAGTAGTATTTCTTCTTTTAGATTATTCTTGTGGGCTTCATTGGGTTCTTTGGCCTAGTTTATCTTCATTTTGTTGGAGTCTGGATCTGAGTATCTGTTTTCTTCATTTCCCTCTGGTTTCTGTAGTAATTTTTTGCTGTGGGGAAACTGGTTTCCCTGTTTTTTGTCTTCCCGTCATTGCCCTTGGTGTTGTTATTGTCCCTGTACTGTGTGCAATTAAGTATTTTCTGGCTTGTAATAATAGCACTAGTGATATTTAGAATGGAAGGGTGAGAGGGGATGGAAAGCAAAGAAGTTAAAAGAAAAGGGAAAAACAAATAAACAAGTAGAAAAAAACAAAACAAAGAAACAAAAAGAGTTTCAAAGATATAAACTGGGAGAGACAGTGTACTAATCAACTGTAAGCTGAAAAGGCATTAGAGAGACAGAAGATTGAAAATAAAAATAAAAAAATAAAGATAATAAAAATAAAAAGAAATAAAAGAAAAAGTATATGAAAATAAAATAAAATAATAAAAAAAGTAAAAAATAAAAAAATAAAACCTCTAAGTTCAAATGCAATGAAGTTTCAGTCTTAATAATTTTGGTGTTCCTCCCTCAGCCTCCAATCCTGGAGATGGTGCCTCAGATGTTGTTCTTAGTTGTCTCATCAAAGGGGAAACATAAAATAGAACAAAACTGCACAAAACCGCACAAAACAAAACAAAAAAACCCACAAAGTGTCCCAAGTTCAAATGCAATACAGTTTCAGTAAGTTTTTCAGCATGCAGGTGTAGTTCAGTTGTTTCCTCATCAAAGGTAGGGAGGGAGAGAGAAAAAAAAGAGTCTGGAGACAGGTCTTTGAATGGCTATCTGCGGCTGTGGCTTGCCTGCCCACTGCTCCACTGCTGTCAGCCTGCTGTTGCTGGAGGCTTTATTTATGCAGATCTCTGGGGTGAGCTTAACACTCACCTGGCCCTGCAGGCTTTGTTTACTCAGCGTTCTCATGTGCCAGAGCCACTGCTACAAGCTTTCCCCTTTCCAAGCACACTGGGGGAGGTGACACTTTATTTACAGTTCACGCGAGAAGTGGGTCTTCCCACCTCTCCTGTGGAGTTTTCCTCCCTCTGCCACTCTCACAAGCTTTCCTGCTCCTGGTTGCTGGGCGCGTGCCACCGCTCCGCCCTCTCCGACCAGGCCCGGCTTGTTTATTTACGGTTCCAGGAGGGATTCCCCTCCCTGCCTCTTCGGTGCTCAGGGCA